TGAAAAAATTATTCGATATTGTGACCGTGAGTCTCTCAACAACGTTTTATATAGTCATGCATTTAGATTTCCAAATTTTCTTCGGATAATTCAAATTTAATCATTATTCAACCACTAATTCGTGTGCTCATTATTTGATATGACCAACTGATACAAGTCCTTTACAACAGTGGCGTGGTGTGCTTTGCGATTTATCGATATATCGTCCATTTAAACCTATGGAATAGGATCGATAGACGAGGTGTTTGCAACGAACACCTCGATAATCGATTCTTTACCAAAGCTTTAAATGGGAAAATATCGAAAATCGATCATTCACTCCTCGCCACTGCTTTACAAACGAAAAGAGACGGAATTTGGGTCCAGTCAGAAAGGGAATCAAAGTAAGATCGATTTTGAATAATTCATGGACAAATATTGAACTAAGCTCTTGATATTGAGACTGCGACAAAGCTGTATATTCCTATAAAGGGATTTCCTGGCAGCTTTTAATAATGTTACTTCCATTTACTAACCTTAATTCTGCATTTTTTTATTAAAATTATATCCAACTCGCTATTTAATCTGCCCACTTATTACCTGCCATGTTTATTCTGACTTTCGATCTTTCAACGCGCGTGATGCATGGACCCTACGAAAGAGATGCTTGCATTAGCAAGTTTGAGATATTCAGCGACGCATCCACACCAATGAAGGTTGCCAGGTTGCTCGATATAATGTAGGTATTTTATACAAGTTTAAATGGCAGGAAAGGATGATTTTTCAATATTACCTGGCAATAAAGATACTAATCCACATTATCCTCCTGGAGTGGCGAAGATTGCGCCTTGCACCAAACATCAATCCATTCGCAATCATGAAGTATCAAAGGATTTTGGTAGCTGGGAAGTACCTTCAAATGTATACAAATTATTTTTGTATAACCGTGAAATGCACAATGTGTATAACAATTGTTGATAAGAAGTTCCCAATAAACTTATATTAAGAAGGCGAAAAAAAACCCTTCAAATGTAAGTAACTCTTGTAAATAATTGTAATCTTCCGTCGCATTTCTAAGGCGCAATGATACAACTATTTGAACTCTCCGGAACGCGTGAGGTATCACGCCGCATTTGAAGGCGTTTTCAAAACAGCCAAGTTCCGATACCCGGATTATCGTTTTGCAAAGTTCCTATTATTATGTTTCGTTCCTACCATTTGTTTGTTTTCAATCATCCTATAAAAACTACTCTTTTGCTGAATACACTTCTGGCTGGAGCGCACTTCAGTTATGCATTCACGACTGCAAAAATGTCAAAAGAAATCGGCAAGGCCAGCGTGTATGAAGGCTATTTCAATTCTAATCTTCCGTCGCATTTCTAAGGCGCAATGATACAACTATTTGAACTCTCCGGAATGCGTGAGGTATCACGAGCATTTGAAGGCGTTTTCAAAACAGCCAAGTTCCGATATCCGGATTATCGTTTTGCATAGTTCATATTCTTTTGTTACATAGACTGTCCAAAAAGTACCGAGACTGGTTCTATAACTCAAAAACCAAGATAGCTAGAGGCTTGATCTTGGTTTCATGTGAAAGATCAACTCAATATCTATCGATTAAGACCAAAAGTTACAATACTGTTTGTAAAAAAAAATATCTGGACCCCCTACCGTTTTTTTATATGACTATTTTCTCTTGCCGGCAACACTCTCTAAATTATTAATGATCAGTGCACGGTTCTTTTGCAACTGATCATGGCAAAACCTAATTGATTTGGAAACACTGTCAAGTCGTCGTCGTCCGACTACGGGTATAAGGGTTCAAAATGTACGGGGAAAGACTGAACCGCCGGTCAGCCACCCCCAAAAAACCCGGGAAATTGTCGGCAGTTGTTGACAGTTCACAGTGCGTGCGTGGTCTACGCTGAGGAAAGTGAGTGATTTTGTTTCCGTGTTCGAAATTTTTGATACCACTGCTTTATCTCTTTTCATGGTGGTTCCATGATCTCTTTGCATTCATTTTCAACTTCCATTTTGACGCCATTTTGACGAGTGAAAACAGGGCTTCTGATCAAATAGGACTGTTGCATGGTGACTATCAGTCATCAACAGGTCTACTTTGATCGGAATTGGTTCACAATTTGATCGTGTATCGAGACCTTACGTTTTCTTTCATCCTGCATCATCGTGCTGAACGGGCAACGCGAAACATGATGGTCGAAAACATTACACTTATACGCACTTGACCTTGAAGCAACAAATCAAGGTGCAAGATGCTTCAATGGACGCGGCGCGACGCCTAGATCCCGACGACGCGGGGTGCTGTCTCTTTGAGGATTTCGTCAGTCATGACGTAACGCATAACGGCGTCTCTAAGTCAAAATTCATCAATTGAGACCCTCGTTCCAGCGTTGCCTATTCGGAGATTGTCTACAGTCCTGCCGTCCTACTCACTGAAAAAAAAAAATCTCTGTGTATTTACCAAGAAAAGGGTAAAATTACCAAGAATTCAGGGTTCTATCTGATCCTAGTTTTTTCTTGGTAAAATCACCATTTATGGAATCGGTAATTTTACCGAGAAATCTCGGTAAAATTATTAACTTTCTCGGTAATTTTACTCGGCTCCGGTAAAAACACCAATATTTTTTATCGACTGTGGTAGAAGTACCGAGATAAAATGGCAAAGTTATCGGGAATTGATTACCAATAAAAGTGGTATTCTTACCTGAAAAAAACAGTAAACATACCGGTTCTTATGTAAGCTTACCAGTCTGTCTTGGTAAAATTACCAATAATTGGTAAAAAGAGTGAGATGGTAAAGGTACCAACGGACCTTGGTAAAAACGCCGAGAATTTCTTTTCAGTGCTGAAAAGAGCAGTAACGAACAACTTTTTAAAATCGAGGTTTTTTTTTTTTTTTTTTTTTTTTTTTCAAAACTCGACCCTTTCAATTTAAATAAACTGACCGATACAGTGAAAACAGCAAAATCGTTCTTATCCGTCAAAAAACGAGAATTGTCTCAGAGCAGTAAGTCCATAACACCAGCAAGTCCATCAGGTTTGTTGGTTTTCCATCACCCGAACAAAGAGCTTTACACGAGAACGAGGATGGAGTCACATCCCTCCACATTGCAGTGCGTTGAGAGCAGTGGCGTGGCGTGCTTTGCGATTCATCGATTGATCGGCCATTCAAACCTATGTAAAAGTATCGATAAGCAGGGTGTTCGCAGCGAATACCTTAATAATCGATTGTTTACCACAGCTTCAAACGGGGAAATATCGATAGATCGCAAAGCACGCCACGCCACTGGTCGAGAGTCGTGATTTCTTTCAAAACTCCCCATCATATTAAGTATATCAATTGGTTGGTGACGTCAAATGAATCAGCGTCTAATTACCAAAATTTTATCCTGGAATCGACAACACTGTGCTTGATGCGTCGTCGGAGAAACAATGACCAGTCGGTAACCTGGTTGTACTCATCTATGACCTATTTTTCGTGTGTTGTTTTGATTCAAGCCTTACTCGCGTCCTCTTCCTCTCTACACTAAAAAAGAATGAAGTTGATGTGTTTAGTATTGGTATGTCAAAATAATTATCATTGATACTTTGGCTCCCGGTGCTATCGCTGTGTATGCCTCTCCCTAAATTTCATATTTGCATTTGTGCCATGCAAATTTCATCCAATTTGGATGCATGTGATTGATTCGGGTGAAATGGCTCTTGGCGCTGGAAATCCAAATGAATAAATAAATAAATATAGCAAAATCGTACATTGTATCTCAGAGATGTTGTAGTTCTGTATCATTTAGCGCAAGAAACACTCCAAAATCCCTAAGATCAACTTAAATATTTCAGAATTAGAAAACTAATCGGTGATTTGAGAAATACGTGGTTAAAGTTCGTTGGCGCTGTTGTTAGTTTTGAAAACGATTAATTTCTATAGTTTATAACATCTCTATTAATGCAAATTAAAGCTTGAAATCACGACCCCATGCTCTCTTTAGTATTAGAAAACGTGTAGTTTGAAAAACGGAAAATCGATATTCTTGACCCAAAATATATTTTCTATGTGCTGAACAGGTAGAGTTACCTCCTTTAACGCACATTTCGCCCAACGACATCACTTAAGATCTAAATTTTCCGACGAGGAACTACTATTTCTGGATAAAATCACCTATTTGCATGGGGAAACCAATGACATATGGACTGCATTTTGCAACTCGGAACTACAATTTCTGGCTCAGTTTAAAAACAACGTATGTACCATTAGTTTCCCTATGCGCGTAAGCGTTTTTGCAGATGAGTCAGAAATTGTAGTTCCTCATTGCAAAATGTAGTACATATATTATTTTATTGCCAAAATGAATCTCAGACATGGTAGTTCGTAATTGCAAAATGTAGTCCAAATGATGGAACTAATCCGTAGCTTGAACCGTCCTAACACACTTTAACAGGCAGAATCGACCTTGAAAATTTCACATCAACGAGTAATCCGCTCAGTGAACGGTTCACATTCAAAGATATTTTCTACATTTTATCTCCTGGCGGATAATCAAGTAGAGAAGTTCCGGGACGTCGAGAACCTCAAGTTTGTTTTGAAAATATTTACTCGCGCGCAGCTTCTCACCAAACGCTGTAATTACCGTAAATGCAATCACACTTTGAATTTGTATAACCCTACAGTGACACTGACTCCAAAAACGCGTATCTCTTTTGCGGTGTTTCCAAATCTCCGCTCCCATTTTATTTTACATTAACAGAGAAAAGAGAATGGACCAACACTATTTCTTAAAGCCCTCGGAGAATATTCTTCACTCGGTGAAGAAACTTCAGAAAATGTTTTCAAGAAATTACGCTAAGAGTTCTTCCATTTAAAATGTAATGATAAATTATGACAGGAAGCAGGCTGCTAACTGAGGTGCACGCGTTTTTGCATTTCAAGTATCTTTCCGCGCCTAAGAATTTAAGCGCAAAGCACGCATGAAGTCTGATTATTTTGTTTATTTCATCTGTTCTAGGTCCCTCTATTGATCGTATTTAACGCAGCCATCACGTCGATCGTCACTCGCAACCCGTAAGTGTTTTTCTTTCCCTCCTGCTTGCTTCTCACTCCTCTGTTTCCTAATTTTCTCTTCCTTCGCACTCGCTCAAGGGCCGAATTTTTCGGGGAAAACTGGCTTGATCTTAAATACTGTCCTCTGATTGGCCGGTGGTGCATTCTGGATGACTACTGAATTTCGGTTTTTAAGTGCCGACGGGAGTCGGCCCCTCGAATAATTGGACTACATTGTACAATTTGGAACTATAACATGTGGCTCAGTTCAGAAACGACGCATGCACAATTAGCTTCCCCATGCACATGAGTGTTTTTACGGATGGGGTAGGAATTGTAGTTCCTAGTTGCACAATGTAGTCCAATTATACGCAAGCACTTGGAATTTGGAACGATGTATTACATTCCATGCATTGGGTGATGGAAGGAGGAAGGTCGTGTTTTTCGTCAGTGAATTGCCTTCTAATGTCTATTGCGTGTGTTTAGGTACTCAGAGCTTTGCATCAATGAAAGCTATCTTACATTAAAAACTCAAAAACGTTAGTTAAAATTTTTGACGTTGCCAAATTAATTATTTGCAAAAGGGGCCTTTTATTGTTTTCTTTCTTCAAGATTCATCTCTAGATTTCATCTTTAATCCGTCTCGTTTTCCTCCCTTTTTACTTTCTCGCTACCCTAAGGTAGAGGAAGTATTGTTTTTCTTTTTTTTCCAATTGGAATAAAAATCGATCGAGTTCAATAGGAACGCAAGTTGCATCGGAAGTTGCCGAGTTGGCTCCCGTCCATTTTTAGGTGGGTCGAGTTGGCTCCCGTTTGAAAAAGGGGGTCCCCTCCCCTAAGGGTCGAGTTGGCTCCCGTTAGAAAAAGGGTCCCCTCCCCAATGGAGAAAAAACTTGGAATTTTTTCGATGGAAAAAAGTATAAAATTAAAAAAAAAAAAAACTTTCCCTTCACACTTAATCCAGGCTTAGGACTGGCCAAAGAGTGTAGCGTACTCAAAGGGCGTGTTTAAAAAGTTTTTTTTTTTAATTTTATTTTGTTTGTTTATATCGTCTCTCTCCGGACAATGGGTATTAAAATGTAGGAAATGGAAATGATTAAAAACAGGTTATTAATTTTCACCTGCTACGGCCAATTAGCAGGACTTGTCATTGGAACGAGACGATATAAACAAACAAAATAAAATTTAAAAAAAAAACTTTTTAAACACGCCCTTTGAGTACGCTACACTCTTTGGCCAGTCCTAAGCCTGGATTAAGTGTGAAGGGAAAGTTTTTTTTTTTTTAATTTTATACTTTTTTCCATCGAAAAAATTCCAAGTTTTTTCTCCATTGAAAATAATCAGTTGCTTTTCAAAGTGACAACGTCCAGTGCCGAATACCTAATCATTGTTTGGGCGTGAGTGTTACTGCTGATAACTGATTTCTCCTCAGCACTCTTAATTTCTCAGACTTATCTCATGCATTTCGCACCTAGTGTCCGCCGCTTTACGCGCGGCGCGTCGCACACGCCACTCATTTCAAACGGGAGCCACCTCGACCCTCAGGGGAGGGGGCCCTTTTTCTAACGGGAGCCAACTCGACCCTTAGGGGAGGGGACCCTTTTTCAAACGGGAGCCGATTCGGACGTTTGGGAGCCAACTCGGGTACGTCCGTTGCATCAGGTGGATGCATTTCTGCCAAACGGAACTATGTGCATCAACACATGAGCCCTGAGACCCATAAGGATATATGCATAACAGGGATCACGTCATGATACACATAGTTCCGTTTGGCAGAAATATGTCCAAGTTTGAAACGAGATTAAGATGTCTGATGTTATTTATTCCTCCATAGGACTCAATGTTAAAAATATAGTAAATTTGGACCGCATTTAGCAGAAAGGAACCAAGCTACATAAGCTATTGCCAAATTTATTTAGTCAATTTAATTTTTTGAGAGAGAACGTCTGTGGGGATTCCTTACGAAATTTTAAGGAATTTGCTTCGCTTTTTGCAGGAAATTTTCTGGAAGCACACAAATTCGCACAACCGTTTTCATGTAAAAAATTAAAGTGCCCAATCTAATTTGGCAATAGTTGATGTGGCTTGGTTCCTTTTTGTTAAACGCGATCCTTTTAGCGGCTGTCTTCACTTTCATATTATTATTCCTCGATTTTCAATTTTTACCAGGCGACAATGTTGCACCATAAACTACCCCAAAATCATCCCCCCCCCCTCCAAATGCGACTCGGTGGCTCGGTGCGTTTCTGCTAACTCATTGTCAGTTCAAATGCCATCCTTTTTTGATAATTTTAACTTGAAATTGATTTGTTGTGTGTCCAAAACGTAATCAAGTAAGCATGCAGAAGATAGCACATACTGATATTTTTCCTGAAATGAAAGAGCTCGCTTTATTCAGCCGAAGATGAAACGCGTCGATTTCCAATCGTTTCTAATAGTCGTTTTGAGAATTAAGGGTAATTTCATGAAGGACGGTACATACGTTCAATAAAATCGTCCGATTTGACGCAAGCAGATCCATTTTCTCGTAGCCTCGTTTTTGCTTTTGCGCTTTCTTCGGTAACCCGGCAGAATGAATCCCCAAATGACTATATCCACGGAAAAATAGAGCAAGGGGTTTTTAGATGATGCAGACATTTCCAATGACTTGTTTCGGTACCCCAATAAATTAGGTTACTAACCCGAATGTTGCGGTACTCCCACAATTCATCAGAAATGTCCATATTGGGGTATTTCTACAATTTCAGGAGAAAACCCCGTACCCTTTTTTTCCGTGTCCTCACTATTAACTTTAAGTAAGTTGTACAATTCGGACGAGGTTACTTCTCGGTTTTTCCACTCGGAAGACACGAGCAAAAACTGGAGCCGTCAAATTTCCGCGGCATAGCTCGCGGCTCACAGTGGATCGAGTCATTAGGAGCGGTCGGACAAAATTTTGAAACTTTAGATGCTTGTAAATCCGTTTATACAAAATTTCGAGGTTCTATAAATGGTTCCATTGGTTTTCTCGTAAAATTTTCTTCCGTAAGCAACCCTTGAAACTTAAAATGTGACGAAATAAACATTAAAATTTTCAGTTTTAGTCAAAAATTTCATGTTCGAGCTCTCTAATTCATCTGATCCACCGTGCGGCTGAGCGAGGTGCGAGAGTTGGGAACGAGTTGTCGTCCAAGTGGCAAAATCCAAGTTTACCTTGGTCCGCGGACTCGCCGCACGCGCACGACATCAGAACGAGCTTCCGTCAAGCCTCAAGCCACGCTTCCACAGACGGACAGCGCACGCCCAGCGCAGCCGGCTGATTATTGAAATTGATAGACAAAGCGATAAACAAAGAATACATAGAAAATATGGAGCGATCCTATTTGTTGAGGTGGGTGGTTCCTCTAGTTTAAGGGAGAAAACAAAGGGTCTCTCGTGGGTTGCCGTTAATTAGTCTATTACGTACCTCCTCTGTCCATTGCAACCACCCGCTTCCACGAATAGGATCCCTCCATCTCCTTTTTGCCTTCTCTCTCTATAGTTTTGTCCATCAATTTCAATAACCGGCACCCTGATCGGTTGAAACAGGTGATTGTTAGAAATCAAGGTGAAAATGACTGACTAACCAAGGGGTCTCTCGTGGGTTGCCGTAAGTTAGTCTATTACTTACTACCTTTGTCCATTACAACGACTCACTTCCAGTGATAGGATTGCTACATTTTTCTTTAGTCTATCGCTTTGTCTATCAATTTCAATAAACAGCCCGCTTGTGCAATTATCACCTATCTGTTACCACGGAAGTTCTGGGTGTCGCTCGTAACGCCTTAATTTTCGAAACGGAGTTTTCCTCAAAATTTGACTTATCCATTTTAAATGGATTGACCTATTCAGTTCAAACAGCAAAATTCGTACTATTTGAAAAAAAGAAGAAAAAAATTCAAACTACTCTGATTAAAATATCACACTTGAAAGAAACGAGAATTGTGAGAAATCCGTGCCGCAAAAACTGATGTCATTTTAGACAAACCGGCGGTAAGTCCACATGATCGGGCGAAAGAGCAGTACTCGGTTCTTTCAAGTAAAATATTTTAATTAGAGTAGTTTGAATTTGAAGGAAGCTCGATCGCTAAAAGGGCGTTTCAGCTCGATATGGTATTGTAGAAGTATGATTTGAAAACGTCGGTCGTTTGAAATGCTCCCGGCACAGATTTCCACTGCCTTCAGCGGCAAAATGCATGTATAAAATCAGTGCATTTGCTCCCGCGACTCTAATAAAGCCACTCGGTATTTGCGCGGCCGACCACTTGTCGCGCACTCTCTGTGGAGCCGGGGCTTTAGGTCGGACACTTTCCGGCGTCTTTCCTCTCTCGGATGTGGACGGTATTTTTTTTTATTGCACCGGCTCCTTGTCCAGCGCTCGGTCCATTTTTTGTCGGTATCGTCCAGCTCTCAGGGTGCTCAGCATTCTCGAAGACCGGAAATCATAAGGGAATTTTCTCGGCATCGGAGAAAATCTGGAAAAACGGCACGCTCTGAAGAAAATATTCGTCCTTTTGTGTTACTTTTGGTTAATGGAGGAAGTGAAACACAAACCAACCCAAATTTTGTGTTGATTTTGGTACAGTTTTACAAGGAAATCATAAGGGAATTTTTACGGCATCGGAGAAAATCTGGAAAAACGGCACGCTCTAATAAAAATATCTGTGTTCTTGTGTTACTTTTGGTTAATGTAGGAAGTGCTACATACACCTACCCAAATTTTATGTTGATTTTGGTACAGTTTTATAAAGAAATCATAAGGGATTTTTTTTGGCATCGGAGAAAATCTGGAAAAATTGCACGCTCTGATAAAAATATTCGTGTTCTTGTGTTACTTGCGGTTAATGTAGGAAGTGAAACACAAACCAACCCAAATTTTGTGTTGATTTTGGCACAGTTTGTCGCGGATTTAGCGCAGGGAACAATGGAGGGACCAAGAAACCTCAGAGTCAACCGGAGGCTTGGGTCATTTTGCGTTTTACTATCCGTGTTAACCAAACTTT